AAAAATTCTGTATTGCTGCCCACCAGAATCCGACAGTAAGTGAGATACTACTCGCTGAAGGTTAGGCCATGCCCCAAAATTCTGCCTGCAGCCTGCAAGAAAGCGCGTGATTGCGGTCTGCCTGACCCCAGCAATTATCTAAGTGAGGGTCAATTATTGAGGGGTTAGGGAGGGATGGGGTCGTTGTCGTGGTGATGATAGTGATAACTTAAGATTCGATAGGTGGGACCACTAAGCAAAATACTAGCACGTGATGTTTTTCTACCTTTGCAAACGTACACTAAGCGTAATAATAGAGCCTAAGAAAGCATAAAAGCATCATTTCCGTGATATGAGCGAATTCTGAGGCATCCAAATACTAGGCCTGTGGGTGGTCATTATCGAACATCTTGACTTTACAAATGAGTTAAGTACATAGTTTTTTTGCACCTAATACAAACAACTACTACTTTTGGCTGACATTAGGACTCCACCTTCGAATAACCTTCAAGCGCGAGAATAGAAGCAACTCAAAGGCCCGTAGTAAAGCTCGGTCACGGGAGATGATCTTCCCTGAGACCCTCATATGAGGCTTTGTCGGGTGAGATGAGGACTGCCCACTTTCCGTGGTGTAAATATGCAAGGTCACCCTACAGGTGAGCTTCAGATGAAGCCCGGCAGGGAGATCAGCTCCCGACCGGAGTCATCGGAGATGAGCCGGGCGACGACATAAGGTAAATACTGTGCTAAAGAGGAGAGCACAGAGAAAATCCCCGTAAGTTGCTCCCGAGTAACTTATGAAACATCGTAGATGACGTTCTTTTGCGGTGCAAAACTCCCAAAATTGCACAACTTCGGGCGCCTAAGTGAGTGAGGATCGATGAACAGCTGTTGATGATGTCGATGAACGGTTAAGAATACTAATACACGAAATAACACTGAAAAACTCCGATTAGTCGCCTGACAAAGCAGTATACTGCGCCGTGCGTGTATTATCTCCAACGGTGCGCCTGCAAAGTGGGCGGAGTGACCACCTCCGGTTACGTCCCTTCCGGAGCGGATTTCTCGCTTCGGAGGGAATATTTTGCGGCGCTACTTGGGGGTTTGCCTAGTGTGGGGGCCCACACTAGTATGCGCCGAAATCTCAACAACCCTCAGTTTGGGTGGACGGTGCCTTTAAGACACATCCCAACGTGATGGTACAGATGTTCGCTGACGATATCAAAGTGTATTACTGTTATGATTCCTGCCAGTAACATACAGCTTTTGAAGCACTTTCTCTGTCAATTGAGAAAATGGTATCATGATCTAAAGAATGGGATATACCAGTCAACCTTTCCAAGACCACTGTAATGCATCTTGGTGAAGCTCCTTGTTGTACTTACATCTGCAATGGTATCGCTCTAGAATATTCTATTCTTGTACGCGATCTTGGTGTGATGGTTGACAATTCTCTCACATTCTCCTCCCACATCGAGCAAGTAATCAAAAAAGCATCATCATCACTTTTTGCAATTTTTAGAAGCATACACAGCAATGATCCTGATGTTTTCTTGAAACTGTACAAAAGTTTTTTCCTACCACATCTTGAATATCTTCCCCTATCTGGAATCCATTTTTGAAACGAAACATCAATAGAATTGAAAGAATTCAAAAAAGCTTTACGAGATTACTATTCTATAGATGTTTTCCGAATTCTGAGTTCCCCAAACCTTACCATCATATCGATCACGTTTGAAAATGCTTAAACTTCAGAGTCTAAAGTACAGTGTTGTCAGCGATCTTACTCTCTGTTTCCGAGTATTACGCCTCGAAACCAGACTCAAAGCTAGTAAATTCTGGATCTTTAGACCTTATAGCGCCCGGTCAGGTAGGTTTGGACTATATTATCGTAAGATGGGAAAAAACGACCTTTTATGACTTTTAACTCTTTTGCCTATCGAGTGTGTAGATGGTTTTCGTCACTTCCTGATTATATCATCGCAAGTGAAAATTCCAAAATTTTTCGAAGAAAATTGTAGAATGTAAATGTGCTCCAGATTCTTGATATCTGTGATTTTTAGACGTATCCCGTACAAACGTACCATCCAGTGTTGTTCAATCAGCCTACTCCATCAGCTCAACCAATCTCAATCAATAAACGCCGCCCTTTCCATACTTTTACATGATCAACCTAATGAGACAGAAAGACCACTATTCACGTTCTAATTCATTAATACTACTATATCTATTAGTTCAAATGATAAACCAGCTCGTCTCATCTAACAGGAAATCATCTTCATACCATTCCCGTACGAAAACACACTAGATAGCATCGCGATCACATCTTCTCATAAACAAATCTATCCGCAAATGAATTCCCAGAGTAGTTTACTCAATTCTTTGTTCAATAACCTTGCTCTTCTCTAAAATGGAACTTGTTTGGGCCTAGTCAGCTAGCCTTTGCCCGCAGGCTCGCTGGCAAAACAAAAAGGGGGCCACTACAATTTTTAGAGGAAGCAAGGTTTTAGGACTTATTCTGTGACTTCAAATGCCATTTGACAAGCCAATACTGATTTATATCTTGATGATCTTGATTTTTTATTTGTAATTGTTTTCTTCCATGTCTTTTTTATCTGCCTGAATTCTGAGACTAGCTGGTACCCTATTTACTTGAGTTCCTTTTTTTTCTTCGGCATCAAGTGTATTAGTAAATAAATAAATAAATATCTATGCCAACTTGTGCAAACAGCTGCACCATCGCTGGCTGATCACTACATGGTTATCTTCATCAAGTGCTCAGATAATCGCCGGGGGCAGGCGGTCCGCAAACTCGCGCTTTTCTGCAGGCGGTCAGCAGAATTTTGGGGCGTGGCCAAACCTTCAGCGGGCGGTACTTCCGCGTTCTGCCAGCGGGCAGCAATACAGAATTTTCTGCGAGCGCTCGTCAAATAATATCTTCCAGCGAGCGCTGGCCAAACTTTCAGCAAGCGCTCGGACTCTTTTTAGGTATTTTCGGGCGTACGTCGAGCGCAGGTAAGACTCTGTGTGGCAGAGGTGTCACCGTTGGTTTAATTACTCAAGTTTGAGGTACTTTTTCTCAGCGGAAAGTACCTGGGGGTTGCGCGGTCCTCCACAAAGGAACGTGCGGCCCTCGAAATTTTTGCATCTTCTCGCGGAAAGTCCGCGAGAATGCGGCCACTGCGCCGCAGCTAATCCATAAAGAAACCGCGATTGTTTTTCAAGCATTCGACTTTAATTTTGCCAACTTTCTTCCAAATTTCTGCAAGCGGGCCCAAAAAATCAACTAACTATTTTTCCGGTGCGCGCTTGCTCAAAATTCGCATGGCCGCCTGCCCCCGGCGGTTATCTGAGTGTGTGTGTGCAAACATAGCGATTATAAAACAGCTATTGATTGCCTTAAGTGTTCACTTGTTATGGCCTAGAATCAGAATCAAAACAAGACGCTTCAACCTACATGGGTTGCCGCGAGAAATTGTGAGCCTTTAACCTTGTTCAAATTACGCTGACTTTTACATTATTCCCAGCACTGCTGGGCAAATACGGTATTTTTCGCACTTTTCTGACAATTACCGTGTTCTTATGCAAAGGGCCAACCAGCTTAGTAAAACTCCTCCGAGTTGCCTTCGCGAGCGCGTCGTGGTCAAGCGAGGCGGCTCGCAGGGGGTTTCAGCCGCGCTAACTGTGACATTCAGATTGAAAGACCCTATATTGAGCTTGTTACAGCAAAACTGTTTCTGCGTCTACTTTCTGAACAGAATCATTTTAAGCAGTCAAAGCCATGAAATCTGAAACTTTACCCTTTTAGTATTTTTTTGCGTGAAAGCTGCGCTTCTTATTTGCTCTGAAAATGATGGCCACCAGAGCAAGTTTTGTGTATTAAAAGTAAAAAAACAAGTAAACTTGCGTCAAATTTCATATTTGATGCAGATCATCAGATCTCAGATAATGCAGCAGATACTTCCCTATATAAGAAATACTTATACATAAATTTTCTACGCACTTGAAGGTTATGTCTACTAAACGAACTGGATGTTGAGAAAGGTCCGATCTGAAGTCGCTCTTAGTACAGAACGAGCATTTTGTTTTATGTGAATTTGCCAGTCTTAGAACATGCATTTTACATGAAAAGAATTTATGGACCACAGACCAAATTTCTTGTAAAAAAATTTTGCCTCAAACATTGCAGGACCCTCTTGGCTTGAGGTTTGTCACAAAATCTTAGTTGAGGCTTACATCTACGAGCAGAAAAAGTGAAGTGCTATATTGAAAAGCACAATAAGACAAAAGTTAGAGGATCCTTAGATCTTAAGCTCTATATTGTTAACGGTACAATTTAGAAGGTATTTTTGACTGAAAGTTTGGCTTTTTGTTTCACCTTATAAAATAACCAGCACTAGCAAGACTGACTTACCACATTAGTCTCAAAAGCTCAGTACATAAAATTTACTGAGACGAGAAGATGTGTCGATCTTAAATGTACAACAATAAACTACTCATCTTTCATGCTAGAAACAACTTACCTTTTCTTGGCAACGACGATGGCTTTTATAAAAAGCTCAATGATTAGATTCTGGAGTCACTTTTGGAAAATTCATAGAACTTACTTATCTCTTATACGTTAGCTCTCGACGATGACCTTGAATTTATATACGAGTACAAGGCGCATCTTTTTTCCTCTAAAGTTGACCAGCTGGAAACACACTAATAAAATTTCGCGACCAAAGGATCTTTTACCGTGCTACTTCATACTCAAAAGAATTGTGAAAGAGAACAATCAATTTGCGAAGGTACGGCCGAGCTGCGTGATTGGGAACCAAAAAAGCTTTTGTGGTGGTAAGATTAGTATAATTGCGATCGTTTTTAGTTCACTTTGTTACAGAAACCAGCATGCATGACATCTACGAAAAGGAATATTCATTGCTGCCTATTACAGGGCCGTAAAAATGCCATTTTAGGCCGCAAACAAACGAAACAACAGTTCGAGAATTGTGAATTTAATCTATAATATATAAAAAGACGGAACCTGTGCCTAACATTCAGACCTCTGAAAACTTCGCAACTGTGAAGATAGTCATTTCTTCTACCAACATGAATCTACTATTGGTCAACCTGCTGCTGTTTTCGATTGTTATAACGAGTGACGCAATAATAGGAAACATTACTGTCCGAGGAAGATTGAATGCTTGTGACGAGTACGAATGTAGTCGAAGCTGTCAAGGTTCGGTAAGGAAGCTTATCATATTTGCCAAATTCATTTAGGAAAACTAAGGTTTGACATTTGAAATGACTAGAAAACAGCGTGATTTCAAAGATTTGTTGAAATTAGCGAGGCAAATAGTTGATCGGAAGAAGATTACCTGGAAGGCTTTTGATTTTCTTAAGATACAGTGCTGGCCAAAACTATGATTCCACCCTGAAAACTGCCGTAACTCATCTGCTTTTCAACGAATCGATCTGAAATTTGGTATAGTCATGTGTTTAACAGGCTACCATTAGTAACCAGAACGGATCCCGTTTTCGTTTGATTATTCAGGAAAAAATCAAAAATTTCAAAAAAAGCAGGCTTGAAGGTTGGCCAAAACTATAATTCCACCTAAGGTTTCTGTCCACTAAAGTAATTCTCAGCTTCCAAAGTATTTTGTGCATGTACATAATTAAAAGTAAAAACACTCGCTTTAGTCCAGCTGTGTCATACGTTTATAAGAAACGTTTATCAGCTTTTTTCGCTTAAAAATACTTTCATGCGTATTTTGTCCCCAAGAACGTGCTTTTACGGGTAATTTCGCAGTTTTCTGACTGGTTTGGAAAAGATAGGGCTCCACCTATCTTATAGATGCTTAACGAAGTGAGAACTAAAAAAAATTGGAGTTTTCAAATTTAAAGCGCACCCGACATAGACCTTACAGCAAGCCTGCGCTCAAATTTTTGCCTCCGAAATTGGTTTGTGCTATTTTTGTGAGCTCAAAATGATGTAAAGCATCGTTTACATAAAAAGAAGTTGTACACTATACTTGCGATTGTTGGCCAAGTCACATTTTGCTTGATTTCAAAGCATAAATCTTCGCGGTTCAATGGTAATATTTAGGCAGTCCCAAAATACTTACCAAGTGGTACCTTTCCTAATTTTTGCCTCTATCTAGCCTCTAGATAGTGTAAGCACCTTCCATTGCGTGATGCCTTGTGACTCACATGAGCATTACGATCAGAACCAAGAATAAGTTCAAGGCATTTTGCAAATCAGTTTTTGCAGGATGAATTCCTCAATTAGCCTGCATGCTAAGACCTGCCAAAATCCGCAACCACTGCATTCAGACTCTCATACGTACAACAACTAATGTTATTATTCTACTACACGCTCACAAGAACACAGCAGAAGGAGTTTGAAGGCATAAATTTGAGCGCAGGCCTGCGGTTAGCACTATGTCGCGTGCGCTTCAAATATGAAAACTCCGATATTCTTCTAGTTCTCACTTCGCTAAGCATCTATAAAATAGATGCAGCCCTATCGCTTTCAAACCAGTTAAAAAACTGCGAAATTACTACTAAAAACACATTCTTGGGAACGAAATACGCATAAGAAAGTATTTTTAAGCGAAAAAATAGCAATTAAACGTTTCTTATAAACGTATGACACAGCTGGACTGAAGCGACTGTTTTGACTTTTGATCATGTATATGCACAAAATACTTGGAAGCTGAGAATTACTTTAGTGGAGAGAAACTTTAAGTGGAATTATAGTTTTGGCCAACCTTCAATCCTGCTTTTTTCGAAATTTTTGATTTTTTCCTGAATAATCAAACGAAAACGGGATCCGTTCTGGTTACTGATGGTAGCCTGTTAAACACATGACTATACCAAATTTCAGATCGATTCGTTGAAAAGCAGATGAGTTACGGTAGTTTTCAGGGTGGAATCATAGTTTTGGCCAGCACTTTATAATTCTGAAAATCGAAAAAAATTTAAGCCTGACGGAACTAGACCCTAATAGACAACCCTTCATAGTACCCTGTTTGAACCACTGCGAACAGGCGAGATCACTTTATTCTGATTCAAGGGTGGTACCTTCGATAAGCACAATTTATTACCCTCGTGTAATTATGTTCCCTTCAATTCAAACCTTTGTAATTTCTTCTATCCACGAGCGTTATTTCTTTTTACACTGATCCACCCTGTTTCCGCCTTTTCCTTAGAGCAACTCAAGAGCCCGTATATGAGAAGAGAGTTCTCGTGCTTTTTCAGACAAACATGTCATAACCAAATTGCCCTTGCAAATGTCAAGTAATTTTTATGTGATATTTCAGGGATTTGCAAGTGGGGAATGTAAATGGAAAATGTCGCGAATGCGCTATGTGTGCCGTTGCATTAGATTTCCAAGGCATGGTGGGATGTCAGCATGAGACCGGGAGCCATGGAAATGAGATATAAAAACGGACTAAAATTGTGAACGCCAAATAAATCATGTTCAAACCCTTGCGAACTACTCATAAGGAAGGCCATGTTTAAAGATCATTCTTGATGAGATACGAGATACGAGACTCTACCTGGATTATAGTCAGCAACAGCTATGTCCTTTTCTACAGACCCTACTTGGAGTTCCTGTATTGGAGGAAGTCTAAATTGAGAGCATCAAAAATCTTAATGAGTTCAAAGCCTATGAAAATGCAATTTACTTAGGATTAGTGTAGAATTTTTTGGATGATCCATGTGAGGGATCCACTGACTTTACTTAGCAGTGATACAGTAAGTGGAACCAAGCTTAAGATGTTCTCGACAATCGACACCTAAATTATTTCCAAATGTACCTTTAAGGGAAACTTTCGAGTTTTCACATTGAAGAGTTGACGTAGTCTAAACAGACTGAGATTTTACTTCGTTAATACTTATAATTATAGTTACTGAAGGCAGTGTCTAAGATCCTATCCTCGCTATGTAGCGGACGATTTACATCGGTCTGCACTTTTACGCGGGAACCCAGCACAATGGCGATAGGTCCTCACGCAGTACCAGCTACAAATCGTCTGCCGAATACGGAAGCGAGGCCGATTGGAGATGAATGTCTCAGCCGTGAGGGCACATCTGCGCTGCCATATGGGCAGCGATATAATTAGGTTTTCGAAATCAAATGCTATGTGCGATTGACATGTGTTCAAATCTAAATAAATGCTGCCCTCAGGAGGCACACGCTACATTCAAGTACATACAGCAAATTTTCGAACTAGCTAAGAGCTGACCGGAGGGATTCTTTTGCAGACCTTTGACGTTCTAGAGGTTGATATCTCATCTAAACACTGCTACGATGCAGCTAAAGTTACTGTAAAAACTGCTCCAGAGGGTTTAGTTGAGGTTAGCGAGATTTGAAAGGAAGACAAAGTATAGGAGCGGGAGTATAGGAGCGTAAATCTTCCGATGACCGAGGGAATCAAGTGGTTTTCCTGAACAACTGATCATGGATCAGCGCTGAAGTTCCTTGATTGCACTTAAGCGGTAAATAACTCAGTCGCGTTTGATATTGGTCGCTTTGTATCACTCAATGACAATCATCGCTTGCCTGTAAAGTACACTTATAAATAGTAATAATATTCGTAATTCCATTTTTTTGCTATGCCGTACACAGGTTAATGGTGATAATGGTTTGCAAGGACAAGTTGATGACAAGTTTGTCTGAAAAAGCACGAGAACTCTCTTCTCATATACGGGCTCCTCACAAGGCGACGCGAGAAGTTGTCGTGGAAACGCCAAACAAGCCACGCTTACGACGACCTATAAATCGAGTGGTACAGTCTGCTCCAATTGCGATCAGGCCGAATCGCCCGCGCAAACTTGCGCGCTCGCAGCGCTAGCGGTGTGCGCTGCATATGCGCGCTGTCGAAGAAAGCAAAAGAATTGAAGAGAGGACAGAGAAGCAGACCATGGGCGTGACCGCGAAACCCTAGCGGCGCTGTCTCCCGCCATCCCAATTTCGGCCTGGTTAGGATTGGGGCAGACTGTACCTCTAGAAATTGACGAAGAAGAAATTCCGAAGACCCCCTTCCCATCGGAAGTACCAGCTACTCGATACAATCTCCGTTCAAGACGTCCTACCAATTATACCGGGGAGGAAGAACAAGAGCCGACGCGCAGAAAAGCCCCAACTTTCACCTCATCCGTAACATCGCTGCTCACGGTGGCTCTATTTTCATTGTGCATGACGAAAACAGCGGGATCGAGCAGCAACGGGAGCTACCAACTCCAGTGCATTGAAGAAGGAGTGTTTCTTCTACAAGCAAATCGACAGCCCTACGAAATTTATGCAAAAGATTTCTGTATGGGATTCAAAACGCCGCGGCAACAGGAAATAGTAAGATTTCCCCCACAAATCACTCTGCACGAACAACTCGTCAAATGGAAAATCTTCGACGGTGAAGACGTTCACATAATGGAGACAACGTGCAAGGCAGCATCGTTTTGAGTACAGATAGACTGCACCTTCTGCGCAGTGATGGTGAGCAATCCAGAATGCTGGCCACGCACGGCTATACTAGTCACCGGATTGCTAGTATACTTGGCGATAACCATATGCTACTGCCTTTTTCACGTGCCAGTGCTACTAGGAACACCAATACTCTATGGACTAAAGCTGGCAGGAAGTGCGGATGGCTGATGTTCAGGTTACTATGCCGATTACTGAAAATCACAACGGGCAACGACCGACGAAGAAGAAGAAGAGCTTGGATGAGAGATGTTGTTTTTCTTACGATCCTCTGTATTAATAGACTAGCAGCCGGATGCCAAGATGTTGAAGAACGCACCAGACGCAAGCATGCACTCAATCTGGAAACGAGGAATACTGCACCGTCGACAACACAGAGATACTGAAAATCAATCCATTCAAACAAGAAGCGTGCATGAGACTTACAAGTAACCATACTAGCGTTTTGAAAATCGAGCTGGCTTGGAAGAATCTCAATCTGGTTTGCGAAAAGGAAACTCTCCTGTTTTCCAGAAGCACTAGATATGCACTGCTGGATAGCAAACGCTGCCTTCATGCCGGATCATGTACAGGAGACAAATGCGCAGGGATACAACGGACATCGAAGGTGAAAGAACTGCAGCGAGTCAACGACCATCCGGGTACTGGATGTGTGGAGAGCTGTGGAGGACCAGGTTGCGATTGTTTTTATCCTAACTCGGGATGCCTATTTTACAGGGTATACCTTGTTCCAACGGACGAGAATGTGTACGAAATCTTCAATGTCCACGTTGGAAACAGTTCTTACACTTAAAACTAACCGTAAGCGAACAAGGTTCAGTGCAGCACAGCCACGACTTCCAGGTCATACTGAATCAACCAAAAAGTATATCATCGTTCACTATAACCTTTTCATCACTAAGCACACCACCTACGCCAGCCTTGAATTCAATATTTACAGACGGAAAGCGATGCGACGCTGTGGAAGCGCACCAGGAGCCGCCGCTGGTATGTAGGACATGGGAAGATGCGCAAAACCTCACCGGTGATGTATACGAAGATTGCAAATGTGCCGCAGCCGAAACAAAAATGATGTGTGATTGCAAAGAGGTGAATCTCACTTCCCTAATCAGCACTCTACAACACCGATTGCCGATTATACGTCCTAACCTCGAATTTCGCACTATCGATGAAAAAGTCACAGCTTGGATACCTCAACTGCCGACAGCAGAATTCACACTTCGAATGAGGAGCAAAGTTCGCATTACAGCCTTACATCCGACCTATCTGTTCAGTGGAGAACGCCTACAGCACAGGATGCTACAACTGTGCTAAAGGAGCGATAGCAGTACTAATGTGCAGAGCTTCAGTAGCGGCAACAAAAACCGAGGTCGAGTGTGAAGACAGCCTATCTGTTATCCCATGCAATCAGGAAGGGACGGAGACCAATGTCACACTTGTTGCTGATAAAGCGCAATTTTATCGGAACTGCACAGTGCGATGCGGAAAGGTCCAGGAATTTCGCGAAATCACGGGAACGGAATAATGGGAATCACGCAAACTACGCAGCACCATAACTTCCTTCGGAATAAATATAATCTGCATCTGTAAACAGCATTGTGTCCAGCCAGTCAAGGCAAATTTTTTTTGTGCAGCATGCCCTCGATATTTCGTTTCCAGTTTTCTCGTCGCATAGATGTAACACAGCGCTTATCCAACATAAAAGATTTCAGTAAGTATTGTTCGATAGTACTGTTTTTGTAGGTTATTGTGCGCTAATTACTAACCGCAGACTTCTTTCCAAAAAAGATGGAAGCGTTGGTGAACTCTGGAAAAATCACGCGTTTCCAAATTCTTAATTTCTTTCGGAATTAATTTATTTCGATTCAGAAAAAAGCACATTGTGCTCAGCTCATCATTGCGAATCTTCCGAATATACAGCACGTACCTCATAATTAAATTTCACCAAATTTTCTGCGGACCTCTTTTCGCAAAGGTGTAAAGCAGCGCGCATTGCACCTTACAGACTACAGCAAAACCCTTTGATAGTACTTCTTCTGTGTATTATAGAGCGCCAAAAAGTAGCCGTAGGCCCCCTACCTAGAGGGGATAGGGAGGATGATGAAACTGTGATAAAATTTTGTCGCCTCAAATTCTACTCGTCGTAGACCTAGAATATGAAGCCATCTTGCTAAGCAGATGTACATTTCGTAATCAGCAGCCGATAACCCCTACGAGCAAGTTTCCACAGAACTTCGAGTTACTTGATTTTTTTTTCTCGTTTCACGCTCTGAAGCTCGCCAGTAGGTTTTGGTCAAAATGTTGATTTGGAAGGAAACTACGCTAGATGTTTTTGAACACGCTGTTTTTGAAAATCGTGGTCTCTGTCCAGTTTAGGGCCTTTTTGCAGAGATATGGTGAGATAATTGTAACGAAGTTACGAAAGCTCGTAATTTCTCCTGCACCTATTGCGTACCTGTCAGAAAACTTGCCTGCTTGCCTCTGAAGGTTACAGTTACTAGGAACTGTGCTATCGAATGGTGCATGTTTCAGGCTCCACTCTGTAACAATCGTCGAATTACGAGTCTGCGAAAACACGTCCTCATAATTCTGCCCAGAATGTAAAGATCGCACACATCGTCCAACTTCCACCGTGAGTTGTATGACATTCAGAGTGCTGACATTATGTTCACTTCGCCCAAGGGACCCCACTGTATTGAATGTGTTGATTGCGTGTGCTTCCTGCTCAATTGCATATCAGAACAATCTGTGGCTAGAGCTCAGATTTATCATTAACTACCACGTCTAACACAAAAAGATCCATCAAGAGATGTGGAAAGATTCGGTCGCCGTGTTATACAACCGCTCACGGTGGTCGACGATGTGTGCGATCTTTACATTCTGGACAAAATCCATGTTTTCGTAAGCTCGTAACTCAGCGATTGTTACAGGAGCCTGAGGCACGCACCATTCTA